ACTCTTTGCAACGAGCATTTCTTAGCTGCAAAGAAGAAATGCACACTGCAAAGAAAGCTTCAATTTGGCGGGAAAATAATTCAGTGGTGCCAAAGCACACACAAAAACAAAAATCACACCTTTGGGTTGTGACAGGCATATCGAGTGAAACGATTGGTTATTACAAGGACATTGCTCTTTTGGTTTCCTTCCCCCTCAATAGACAAAAAGTCCATGCAAATCAGCTCTGGCAGCTGCAAGGTCTGCATAGTGTGTAAATATGCTGTGCAAGTGGGTAGGGTCTTGTGCTTCCCACAACGCTCACAGTTGAGGCACTTGTTCTTTGTGTCCTCAGCCATCCATGGCCAGTAGAATCGCTCTCGAGTCAGAGTTAAGGGGTATTCTACACCCAGATGTCCAAAGTCATCATGTAAGGCTTGAAGTGCCAGTGCCCATTGCTGTTTGGGGAGGATCAACTGCAATACCTCCTTCCCTTCCACATCTCACACCCATGATGTAGGACCCTGTTGAGAAGACTCAGCCTCTCCCATTCTCTCAGCAAGAGCCAGGCTGCAGGGGTAACCTGCTGGGTAGTGGCGAGTGGAGTGGTCCCTCTCTGCCTAGCCCACAGCACATTGTGGATGTTGGGGTTGCGTTCCTGGGTGGCCTGCCCCTCAGCAGTGGTTATGTGAGGTAATGCCAAGGGTATCAGTGCAGTATAATTTATCCATGGCTGTGGGATCCCCTTGGGAAGTACTCTCAAGACCCTGGCCACGCAGGCAGCATTTGTCCCCTGTGTGACAGAACCTTGAATGGGCAAATTGCAGAGGGCCTGGACTGCCTCAGGCTGCAACACATCCCGAGCAGCAGGGGAGGTCAGTCAGGACAGAGCATCTGCATTTACGTTTTTCCACTTGGCATGGTAGTGCAAACTAAAAGAATAATCTGCTAGGGTAGCAACCCATTGGTGCCCAGTTGCATCTAATTTCACACTAGTCAATATGTATGTCAGTGGGTTGTTATCAGTCCATACCTGAAAGGTGTTGCCATATAAATAATCTTTAAACTTCTCAGTGATGGCCCATTTAAGGGCCAGGAATTCTAGTTTGTGGGCCGGGTTACCAGGTCCCATATTTCAGCCGTGTAATCAGTCACCGGGGCCCATGAATTAGATAGGTCCCTAGCCATGAGGTATGAGAAAATGAATGAGGTGCGAGGAGATAAGCAGGTAAGCCTGGCTCAGGCTTGTCCCTGCCTGGATGATCCCACACCCTTACTGTTCAACCCATGTGCACAGAAGGAAGCACTAAAATATAAAAATTCATTTTTGAAATTGGGTGCCACCCAATTCACAAAAGTTATGGAGGGGTGCCTCAAGTCCCAAAAGGTTGAGAACCACTGGCTTAAAGTAGTGCCTGCATTGTTTATTATTGTTAAATGCAGAAAATTAATTAAGAAACAATTATAAAAATGAGATCAGATATTTTGACTAGACAGTCCAATTGCTGTATGTATTTTTGAGAGAACTGACACCTGGTGATTACATTAAAAACAGGCAAAGATTTTTAAAGAAAGATACCTTAACTTTACATTCTGTATCTTTATGGGACCCCCTCACCCCCCTGAAACCAGTCACTCCCTCATGAATACAGGCAGTCCTTGACTTACAACGTTTCGAGTTACAATGTTTCTCACTTAAAACGTTTATAAATTGACAACCTGTTTCAACTTTCTGACAACAGTTTTGACTTTACAACACTTGATCCGATGTGATGCCAGATGAGTGAACAAGTTCACTGTATCACCCATCTCCCTGGAGAACATCTGTCCAAACTTCCTTGGGTACTTTCTTTAAGAAAGCAGACAAGACTCCAGAAAAACCTGCAACCAAGACTCCTGAGAAGACTCCAGCCAAGAACCCTTCAAAAAGTCCATCCAAGACCCCTTCCAAAAGTCCAGCAAAGTCACCTCAAAGAAGTCCTTCCAAACCAATATGATTGCTATTTACAATATAAATACATAATTGTAGCTATATTACTCATTTATAATTGATTGAGTAAAAAACTCTGGGTTATTTTTGGTGCAAATAGGGTATCTGGCCTTGGTTCAGGAACCCGTCCCCCATTTATAATATTGTTCCCTATGGGAAAATCGGTTCCGAGTTACAGCTTTTCAACTTAAGACTTGGTTTTCAGGAGCCAATTGTCGTAAGTCTGAGGACTTCCTGTATAGTCGTATTTCACTTCCTGTGGAGGAACTTGAGATTTATTTGCTACTTTGGAAATCTTCAGATATTTTGTATGCCATGAGATCTCCAGCTGCAAGCACATTTAGCTATACTATTCTGCCAGAACCTATCAAAAGGGTCCTTTGGGAAATGTTCTTACAGCATTAGCAATGTTATCTGCGGGCCTAATTTCTTGTGATTTTCTCTATTTTTTTAAATTTAATGCTTATATAACAATGGACATACATGACCTTATAAATGCCAGTTTTGTGCCCTTCATCTGGTTTTTGATTTTCAAAGCAGTAATGTTTATGAAGAGAGTTCCACAAGAACTGTTCATATGCCACTTGGGGTCTGTTTTGATTATGTTAGAAATTGTGAGCAGAGAAAGGGGTTTCCTTTAGCAATACAGGAAGCACAGCCTGTACCTTCAGGTGCCCACAACTTCCCCCATAGTAACTAAGCATGATAGACAAGCTTAACAGCAGACCTGTGCCTTATTTGGTAAAACTTTTTAAAATTGTATTTTGATTGGAGCTTATGCCGCAGGTGAAAGAAGAGTTATGCAGTACTAGTAGTTTTCTGCTAAAGCTTTGCGCATGCGAAAATCTCATGTAACCAGAGAATATAAATATGTGTGTGAGAGTGCAACCAGGGGCCCCTCTGCCTTTCTAAGGTGGGGGGACCTTTGGCCGAATAAACTGGAAAGACCACACCCTCGTCTCCTGCTTATTTGAGTCACAGCTGCGAAACAAGCCCCGTTGGGGTCAGGAGTATTCGCAAGTGTTCCCCTTCCAGGTTGGGAGCTTAAGCGAATAATTTCTACGACAATTAGCTCTTTTAAGATCTGAGGAAGAGCAGTTTGTGTCCAAAAGCTTGTCTGACATGCCTTCTAGCTATACAGTTGGCCCAGTAAAAGATATCATGAAAAAAAAATCCCTTGCTTCTCCTATAGTTCCTGGACCATCCCAGCTACAAGGAGGTTCCAACCCTACAAAAGTGAGGGCCTAAGACAGGTAGGCAATCCCCGGCACAGGTGCCAGAGAGTGTTATTCAAAGGCATTTTGCTTGGTGCATGTGCCTCAGGGTGGACGGCAGGGAAGGGGCCGAGGCTGCGTTGCCACAACAAAGATCAGTCCCCTCATGGCTCCTTCACCATTCCACCATCCGCCCTTGGTATGCCAACATTGAGGTTGGGAACGCTCAAAAACACTGCTGACTCTTGGCCCAAGACATTTAATTAGCAGATTACATGAAAGGGAGTATTTGCTGCCCTCTGGTGGTTACTTTTTACGCATCGTATTTTTAAGGGTTTGACTAGTTCTTGATTTCTGTTAAGCAAGGATTCAGGTGGTCAGATTCAACAGCAAGAGCTGAAGTTTGGAAGCTGATTAAGTCATAACAAGCCAACACCAAGAACCAGGAAGCCAGGAGACAGGCCAGGACCAGGCACCAGAGTTACAAAACCAGGGTCCAAGTCAGAAATAGAGTTTTCGAAACAGCTTTAATTAGGGACCTTTTTGTCCTTCCCAGATGATCAGGAAGCACCCACGTGTAGCCAGCCTGACGCACCCCAACTGGCCAATGAAGCTCCAGCTGGAATGCCTCATGGAGTTCCCCACACACACCAATTTACTAACACTGTGATACAAAAACAAACAAAACAAAGTGTTTTGAAAATAGCTTGCAGGTATCCCTGGTTCAACCACCAGGGAAGGAAGGATACTTGCTGGTGGTTGTCTTATCGAATACCTCTCTAAAGCCGTGTGGGCAAAATACAGCCCATGGGCTGGATCTCTCCCACCAATTGATTACATCTGGCCTGCTGCGCTCTGCATGGGCTGAGCCAGGGCCATTCAGACTGTTTCCTGGGTGGGCCTAGTGCAGGTTCACTGAGCACAGCAAACCTGTCTGTGCAAAACAAGCCAGACTAAGGCAGCTAAATCCCTCTGCAAATGAAGAACACAGCCCCACTGAATTCCCACCCTTCTCCTTTGTTGTGTGGGATGCAAATGATGTGGGGGCACAGCATTGTCTAAAACCAGAATTTGTTGGCCTACAGCCCTAAGGGCAAAGAGACAGGTTCATACAGGGTATAATGAAGCCGTTGTTAGATCTGGAGCTGAACCGTAATCCCAGCCATGAGTGTCGCGTGCCTCCTGAGGCTGGGTGGGGGGAACAGCGACCGCCCATAGGTGGCAGTGGCGTGGTGTGGCGAGGCGGCTGTGGCTTGTGGTGTTAGTGGGAGGGGATGGCAAGCGCCAACTGGTGACTATCCGTGGATGCCGCTGGCAGTGTTGGCAATGGCCAGTGGTGATCAGGTACTGCATGCAGGCGCTGCCGGTGGTGTTGGCGGCAGCAGGGACAGGGTGGGGAGGGGTGACCGCCCACAGGTGCTGCTGGCAGCGTTGGCAGTAGACAATCTTGGGGGGGGGGGGGGCACATGTGCACCCCTATGTGTCGCCAAAGATTCCCAGCTGCTGTTTCTGAACAATGGTCTTGACAGGCAATATTCTATTATGCTTTTGTTAGGAAACTCGCATTTTTGGAGGCAATTCTAACGCTCTGGCATGGCCAGTTCCTTGGTAACAACCTGTAAGGGTGCCAAGAGCGACTCTGGGAAAAGAAGCGGGAATAAGGAGCTGGGGAACCGGGAATGAGGAGCCTCATGTAAACAGCAGACCCCAGGAACAGGAAAGCGCGCCTGAAGGTCACCGAGCCCGCCTCGCCCCTTTTTTCGGCGGCTTTTCATTACATCGCGGCATCCCCCGCGGCAGATCCCTCCTCTTTCTCCTCCGCCCGGGATCTGCCTTCAACGGCCCCCCATCTTGCCCGGGGCGGGGCGGGTTCCGGCTCCCAGCTCCTCCTGCCAAGCTGCGCGGCGGGATGCGGCGGCGAGAGGCGGGGC